TCTTTATTTTTTTGTCCCACCGAGGGCCCTACATGTGTTTTTTCACAGGAACTGGTGCTAGTTTGGCTGAATTCAGCCGGAAACGGCCGAAAAAAAAACCAACCCGAGGCGGATCACAGTCGTGGGCGACGGCACCGTCGCCGGAGCACGGCGGAACCGCCGTGCCAGAGTTCTGAAATTGGCTGAGGAGGCCCTGGGTCTGATTTGGAGTTTTTTAGGGACATGTGCAGGTACCGGAAGTGTGTTTCAGTTCCCGGAGAAAATTTCAGGGAATCTAGGTACTGCCCGTAGGCACAATGAAAAATCGATTTTAGATTTCGAATCAAGTAAGGATCTCTCACCCTATTTCCTATCACGGTATTAAAGTCTAATAAATGATAAAATAGTATTTTATGAATTCATGGATATGTATAATTAATTAAGCTTGCTAATGGAGTCCGAATCTGATATGTTTTTCAGTCAGTTCCTGTTTGATTTATTTTACAGTCTAAATACAGTGTAATATCTGATTTGTTTATTATGTGGCTTTGTATGCATGATTCACTGTTTAATTTATTATGGTTTGATTATTGTGAACCCAATATTATGTTTGCCTTGTTTGGTGTTCGTTACTGGTTTACGTATTCATGTTTGATTGGGTAATTGAGACTAAGAACAAATAGAAATGGGATTGAGTTGATAAATGAATAAATCCTAGGAGATGGTAGACGGACCGGGTCCATAGGGAACCCTACCAGGAACGTTGTCTCTCATACCGGACGGGGTATGGAGACTTTAAATATTTTGGCGCTCATACCGGACGGGGTATCGGGACGGCCTTAGAGTTAAGTTATTAAGGTGAATGGTTCACGTGCAGCGGGGACCCCTATGGATCCCCATGGATACTGGTAGGCTGGTAAAAGAAGAAATTTGTTACCTAATGATTAAAATATTAAAAGTATGATATGTGTTATGTTACGGAGTGCGTATGATTTCATGATATTATAATGTTATTGTTTTCATAAGTTGTTTTCATGAATCTCACCGAGGTAAGTGGACAGTAAAAGGTTTTATTATTGATAAATGAATTTGTTATAAATTATGCTCTATTGGTCGTTTTTGTTTTCTACCAACCTTTATCTCTGTGATAGTAAGATAGTGTGACATCTTTACTGGGTTAGTATAGCTCATTCCTTACTAACTATTTTAGATCAGGAGGACTTGGTTCTCGAACCCATTCTGCAGGAAGACAGCGAGTAGATGCTTAAAGATTTTATAGTTTTTCCTTATAGTATTCATTTCTAATATTTACTTTAGTTAGCTTATTCTTCCATACATTAACACGTTTTGATTATTATGTAAGGGATGTTAATCATAATATTTTATTTTGCTTCTGCACTTAAAATTTTTATACATACGTTTCCTTTTAATTTTCGACGCCGTTACAATAGTCAAAATAGTTAAGATCAGGAAGAACATACAAACAACTCATAGCAGGCATAAGAGTTATGCGGACACCCGGAGGAGGAATTTAAAATTTGAAAAAGGTGATCGAGTGTTCCTTAAGGTCACTCCTTTCAAGAGAATCAATAAGTTTGGCAAGAGGAGAAAATTAAATCTCCGATTTATTGGGCCATTCGAAATCTTAGACAAAATTGGTACCACTGTCTACTGATTGACACTACCTCCAGAACTATCCAATGTTCATAATGTGTTTTATGTGTCCATTCTACACAAATACAACCCGGACCCCTATCATATCTTGGCTCACAGGCCTTTTTCACTCCAGGAGGATCTGTCCTATGAGGAGGTACCGGTAGATATTGTGGACTGAAAGAGCAGAGTACTCTACAACTATAAAATTTTCTTTGTTAAGGTCCTATGGAAAAATCACACAAAGAGAGAGGCCACATGGGAGCTAGAATCCAACTTCAGAGCCTAATATCCCCAACCATTTGATTGAGTGAAAGAAAGACAAATTTGAGGGACCAAATTTTTTTTTAAGGGGGAGAGTAGTAATACCGGGGCCCAGAATTTGGTCCGGGATTAATTTTAAATTTTAAAAAATATACAAAAAATATAATTTTAAAATTTATAAATTTTTATTTAATGTAAAACTAGGAAAAAAAATAGGTTGATGATAAAATTGAAAATAATTTTGGGAAAAAATGGGTAAAAATTTGGGTTCGAATGATATTTGAAAGAAAAGTTAGAAATTGAGGGTCAAAACGCAATTAAAAAAATTACACTACGTGGGACCGCCAATCAGCAGCCCCGACGAACCAGAGCGTACCGCATGGCAAGGCAGGTTAACTCGATGCCACGAGGGAGGCCACGCCGGCAATCCGCATGCCCGCGATCAGACGGTCCGGATGCGTTCCTGTGCGCATGGACAGTCTGGATCCGTTCCCTCCTCAGGCGCAATTAGATGGTCATGATTAAATGCAATGAACGGTGCAATGTACCACATTTTATATTATTTTTATAGATTATCATTTAATACTTGCAACTTAAATAAAAATTTAGAGAAAATGCAAGCATCTCAATTTAGTAAACTTCAATCTTATTTCGCTTATTTATAATATAACTTGATTTTTTGTTAGATACATACAAAAAGATATTGTAATCTAATAAATAGAGGGAGATGAAATCTAAATAATTACGAACTTGAAAATTCTAATTAATTTATTAAAAACTTGGCAAAATATCTTTTTTGTGAAAATTAATCTCTTAAAAAATGATGAGTATTAAGTGCACTTATATAAACATACGATATATGAATGAATATATGCATGATTATAGCCCGCATGGGGCCGTAACCCCCACATAATAAACACACGTACATGCACAAATATATATATATATATATATATATGTAATAAAACACAAAAACCTTGTATTAATAATGTTTAACAATTGGAAAAATCGATAGATAAAAATAAAAGTCCCATTTTTATGTCACTTATTTAGAAAAATATTAGTAATAGAAATCCACCGAAATTAGTGAAAAATTAGCTTAAAACTTAGAAGGGGGAAAATAAAAAGTTATACTTGAAAGGTACCTAAAATTTCATAGAGATACAATATAACTTACCCATTTGTCAATTATAAACAACAATATTTACACCCACAAAAACAAATTATCCACATTTTAGTTGAATGATTATTTATAATTTGGTGATTAGGATTATAATTTTATTTTTGAATAATTAAAAGTATTTCTTTATTTTTTGGTGTAAAAAAAGTACTCATCTTTTTATTATTGGTTCTTGGTGCATATAATTGGATTTCGTTATCACAATCACTAAAAATTAAACTATATTATATAATTTGTATTGTCCTTTTCAATATATATATATTTTTTCTTCATTGCTTTTCTTGTTCTTTCAGATGTTTCTTCATTGCCTTTTAATTGTACTAATAATAATAAACCAGATTTTTCAGTATTTTTTGTTTCATTAAAGAAATTAATTTTAGAGGTGGAAAAGGGTTTTTTTTTATGTTCTCGGCTCTATGTGTCTTTGTCCTTTCTAATTTGTTCCAATCCATTTACTTTTTTTGAATCAAACAAATTATGTATATTCCTTTCCTTATTTAATCACTTTAAATTTTTCTTTTTATTATATATATATATAATATTATAATTTCTTTTATAAATTATTGCAATGACTAATAAAATATTGAAGTTATACAGTTTAGGCAAGAGATTGTTGTTGGTGTTGTTTTTTTTTTTAATATTCTTTTTCAAATTTTTTAGTCAATAATATATTTTAAGCTCAAATTAATAATATGTTTTGTTGGGTGAGCAATAAATTTAAATGTTAGAGAGTTATCTTTAGATTTAAGCCACAACATAATTATTTTTTGACCATAAATTTAAATAAACATAAGTAGTTCATTTCCAAAAAATCTTATTTATTTTTATTTATTTCTTAATTATTTTGACAATTTCTTAATTCATGAGTATTTTTTTATTGAATATTTACAATCTATATTAAGTTTACGAATTATCAAATAAAATTTTAATTATTTTAATAATTTTTTTTTTAAATCAACTTGGAATAAACCAAAAGTTCATGTAATTAGTTGTACATAGTTTGTACGGTAAGAAATAATTCACCAAAAATATATATTAAAGATATATATCGTTATATTATTAATATATATATAATTTCAATATTTAAAATTTTATTTTTATAGAAAATATTTTAAATATTTATTTTAGGGTCGTTAAATCTAAAGTTTTACGAATCAAATATATATAGTAAATATTTAATAAGAAAAAAAAATAAAATTTATTTCAAATATAAACTGAAATTTTAAAAATAAAAATAAAATATTTAAATTAAGAGTTGAGATTTAATTATTATATTAATTATTAACTTAATGAATGATTATAGTTTATAAATGGTAATATTTAATTTAATTTCTATTGATTTTATTTATTTAAAAATGATAATATTTTTCAGTTTCAACAAAACTGAACTTTAACCAAATTATAATGTACTTTATATGATATTTAATCTAATCATTGATTAGGAGATATAATAATAGAAAATGATTAATGGTGCTTCGTGTAATGAGTATCAAAGATCAATTATTCTTTTTTAATTCTTCTACATAATTTCACAAAATTCGTTAAATCTGATCAGTTTCCTGAAATGGAAATAAAAGATAGATAGATATGTATATATATATATATATGCATGGATAGTCATTATTTACTCTCACTAACTTAAACAAAACCTTTGTATTTATGAACTGAAACTTGGAGGGTTTTCATTAAAATTTGAGAGGGGAAAATAAAATGGTAAGGAAAAAGATAAAAGGAAATAAAAAGGAATAAAAAAGGGAAGGCGGAGAGTCCAGAATAATTGGCATCAAATGCTTATAGGGATTCGCACTGTTGTTGAATTCCAAGATCTGCAAACAACAACTCCTATATAATATATATATATATATATTGAAAATAAGAAAAAAAAAAGGAAATTGGAATTTAAATTTTCTTTCTCTGTGTCCCCATTGGCAGAGCAGACTCCTAAACCATCACTTGTCTCTCTAGCTAGAGAGAGAGAGAGATAGAGGGAGAGAGAAGAAAGAAAAGAAGGCAACATACATAAAAGGAATAGTGGAAATAGTAGCAAGCAGTAGTTTAGTGAGAGAAAAAGACAGGCAATTAGGGTACCCATCGGAAAAGTTGCTCACAAAAAGCTAACCTCTGTCCCCCCCTTCCTCCTCCTTCTCCCACTACTCTTTCATTGGCTACTGCACCTTCCAATTCCTTATCTTTGTTTTCGACCATTTTAGTTTCTGCTATTCGGGGCCTCTTTTACTTGGGTTCTGTCTGAGTCAGACAAGAGGAGGAAGTGAATCACTCGCCTATTATTGGGCTTTGCCTTTGATTCTCTTCTCTGCCCAAGTTCATGCTATGTTCCCATCTTTAGTTTCAGTTTCTGCGGGGGACAATTCTAGGGCTTCTATCACTGGATTTCAGGTGTCCTTTTGTGGGGTAATTTCAAGTGTGTATGACAACTGGGTTACATTTGTGTTGGTTTTCAACTACAATTCATGTCCCACATATGGATTCTAGGGATTTTTAGGTTGCTAAACTTTCTTCAAGACACAACCACTTTGGTGGTTTCTAATATCTGAGAAGGCGGTGGTTTCAGCGATGTAAAATTAAGACCTTCTGCTTTCCCGTCTGTGGTATTTTGCTCTGGCCGTGTTTCTGTGCTGTTAGAGTATTTTTCTTTCTTTTTGTGGGTAAATATGGCAACTGAATCCAACACTGGTTTTTATGACGGGACGTTGAGCTCTGTGATGAATCGTCATGCCATATCCTTTCAATCGGCTGCCATAAACAGCACGTCTGAGATGATTCCCATGGGGACTTACATCGGGGTTAGTACCAGTCCCGCAGGATTGATCTTGCCAGGGAATTCGAGTATGGTTACTGCTGCTCCTAGTACGATTATTCAACCTGGGAATTCTTCTGCGGCTTCTCTTCTTCTTGATTCAGTGCCTGGACTAAAGCATGAATCTAGTTTGGCCGTTGAATGGTCTGTTGATGAACAGTACAAATTGGAGGAAGGCCTTGAGAAGTAGGTGCTCTCTTATCATTTGTGTATAGTTCACCCTATGGTTTATCTAAACGTGGTTCCCGTTATGGTTATTTGTGCATGATATATGCATGTAGACTGTAGAAGTGCTCTGATTGTATAACGATAAGCAGATACAGAGACCGAACTTTTGTTATTTAAAATATTAAATTTTACCTCTTTTTAACTAGTGGTTTTAGATTGAATTCTCCTCGGGGAACTATGGTACTTAACCGTAGGATATTCATTTTTGATGCATCACCATATGAACTTTGTTTCATTATGTGGTTAATCTTGGAAATCTTCCTTTGGTCACATGTGGTTTTTCAATATGCTTCTTGATTGTATTTTTGGGTCCAAACAGACTTGTTTTGACTTGTGAGGACCACTTTGTGCTCTGCTTTGTGATTAATTAGTCCAGTCCCTTGCACAAGTAGAAACAATTTACATAGCTTCAATTATCACTTAGAATCAGAGAATCTTTGACAAACTGACTGTTGTTATTTGCCTCATCTTGTAATTTTGATCCTTCTTTATGATACAGCATGAAATCCTTGTAAATTGTTTGGTTATCGTAAATTCCACTTGTCTTATCTGTGATTTAAATATTGAAGCTTCAATTTCTATTCTTTTTTATAATTAAACAGATTTAAAGATGAACCAAGTATTATGAGGTACATAAAAATTGCAGCCACTTTACGTGACAAAACCGTACGTGATGTCGCACTAAGGTGTAGATGGATGACGGTAATTTCCTCACTCTTAATTATGCCTTTTTCGTTATAAAGATCTTAAACATTTGTCATGTACTTGTTACTTTGTCAGCTACATGTGAAAAGACGTTATAAACTGCATGTGAAGTATCTTATGAACTATTTAACTATATTGATTTTTCATTAAGTGGATCAACGTCAAATTCCTTGGACCAGCTAATTTCTTTTGACATGATATTACCATTCTAGTTTTTGCATTAGCATTGAAAGCGAATCTGTAATTTATAACTTGTTAAGAATTCACCATAAGAACATAAAACTAACATTTCTATAGATATATTTAAGCTATTGTTATGTGAGTTCAAAATCATCTGATTATTAATGTATCTATGATAGGTTTGGCCGTTTCCTATCACCTTAAAGCTTGACAGAATATTACCATAAAAACATAAAAGTAGCACATATTTTTGTAGCCATATTTAAGCGATTGTTATGTGGACTTTGTATCATCTGAGTATTAACGTATGAGGAATAGATTCGACCATTTCTATCAGATTAACCTTTTAGGATAATTAGTTCAATTTATTATTTAAAATGATATTAGACTTAGAGGTCTAGTGTTTGAATCTTAATCATTATCTCATTATATTAATTAATTTTAGTAAAAGGTAAGTTGGATATGGGCTTGATCTGTGAATAGCAGCTTAGCGGGCTTACATGTGAGAGACATGTTAATGTATAAATAATAGAATTGAAAATTTCCTATTATCTTAACCTTGTGGAAGGTCGATCACAATCTATTATCTAACACTGATTATATCCTTTAGGGATTAGTTGATATCACATGGTACAAATTTAAGTTAGGGCTTCAATTTAGAACATATTACAATTTTTTTTTTAAATAAAAAATAAAAAATATATAGAAGAGTACCAAGGGAGTGCAACCTGTGTACAAAATTATTTACAAGGTAGCTAGAACATATAACAAATAGTCGTTACAAATGGAGCTTGTAGAGGCCCCTCAAAATTGATTTCACTAATCCAGATCTTTGATTTTTCTGGCTAATCACAAGGAGTACTTGAAGGCTAGAAGTCAATTTTGGATTTTCTGTACAATTTGCCTTCATGGAAGTCCTTGTTTCTTGGGTAATAACCATTAACCAACACAAAAGCTGTAAAGTTCTTTTTCCCCCCAGGAAACGTCATTTCTAAATTCCTGAAGCCTCTCATTGTAGAACTTGACTAAAACTTACTGCTTGCAATGTCCATTATTAGTAGATAAAGTGATTTCTTTTACGTTTGAATCCCAAAAAACTTGATTAGGAATCAGTACACAAGGTTGTTGATTATTTCTTTCTATATCTCAACTATGCTTGAAAAGTAGATTTCAGTCTTGGTGAAATCATATCTTGAAAAGCTTCAGATGTTCTTTTGTTAAAAGGGTTGATTTTTTTTTTATCTTTGACTGGTTTTTCATTTGAAAATATGGCATTTTTCTAAAGCTTCTAAACATATGATAGGTTTTAAAGCAAATTTTCAGCTTAAGAAGTCTATGATTGTGAAGAATATCCATTTTGTTTTATAAAGCTTATACTTGATACTTAGTTGTGCATGCATTATCATATAGTTGATGTTTCTAATTATTAGTGATATATGTGCAATTGCAGCAGTAAAATTGTTAATGATAGACGTATAATTGCATGATAAATTTTCGTCCATTAGAATTCAAACCTGGTCTTTTATTTTTTTGATTTAAAAGAAAATATGTATTTGTTTTCACAGCGAAAACGTAGGAAACCTGAAGAACATAATTCTGGAAAGAAGTTCAACACCAGAAAGGTATGGCAGTATAGTATTTTGTTATTAGATTTTATTTTTCGGGATTATGATCTTTCTTGGTAATTTCTGCAGTTAAATGAATAATAACAAGAAAAGGACACTTAGTATATTGCATAAATACAGATAAAGTTATGTGAACTGTAAAGGGACAGATGGAATTCCTATTTTAATTATTTAATCAATTAATGTCTTTAGGATATAATGTTGATTGAAGAACCAGTTTTCTAAAGATCATGCTTCTTCAGGATAAGCTTGTGGAATCATCCGCAAGGGTGAACTTACCTTCAGCTCTGCCACAGAATATGGCCACCTATCCTCTCATGATGCACAATATGGGATCATCAGAGCTTGCAGCTTTAGAAGGTTTGAGTTCTATATATTAAGAAGACATCTTCACTGTCCATTCACAATCTGATTTATCTGTTCTTATTTGTATCCATTTCCTTTTTGGGTGGGTATTTAGAAACATTGTTTCTCATGCAGATATTTAGTTCAAATTTAGGACTAGTTACTTAAGGTGGGTCATTTTAGGGAAGTAGTGTAGATAGGAATATAATGTTGACTTATTATCTTGGATATTCTTTTAACGGTACCTGGCATCACTTTTCTAGACATGTTTATTGAAAGAACAGTTGAAAAAAGCAAAGGAAATATTAAAATTGAAAAAGACAAGACCTTTCCTGTCTATCAAAAGTGATAAAGTCTCCAAAAGAAGTTCTTTTCCTTTGTATTGGCAATTTTGGATGTGGGAAGGAGATAATGGGTCCAGAACGTATCTCTTTTTCTGAGGTACCTACTTCATAATGATAATAGTCAATTCAAGGTAGTTCTTACTTTGATTCAGATGTTCAACGATCTTCAGGTTGGTGGAATTCTTTGAATAGATGTATCTATCCAGCAGCCTCTTAGAGAATTGATGACAATTGCATGGTATCCATTTGGCAGTAGGTTGAATGAGAATTTTCTGTCCTTCATTTTTTTTTGGAACATTGTTCGTTATTTGATTCAGTTTTTCCAAAGTTCATTGATCTTTTCTTTTTTCTTTTACCTAATTTGTCTGAGACCTGCTATCTAATTGTACTTTGATTTCTATGGTGCCATCAATTTATTTCCTGTTTAGTTTTTTTCCTTTCTAATTGTTAGTTGTCTAGTATACAGTCACATCTTTTTGTTAATGTGGTTACACAGGATTAAGTGGTGCTGCGTTGCATCTTCTGGAACAAAATGCTCAAGCTTTCAGTCAAATCACATCTAACCTTTCTACATATAAGGTGATTACCCGATTGCCGAGTTTATATATTTAACTGTCAATTGGCAAGGTATGTTGATTTGGTAGCACTGGCTTGCTTGCTGGTAACATACTGTGACTTCAAAGTTTTTACTGGCTTGTATTATTTGGCAGCGCATGTGTGTGCCAGTCATAGAGATGAGTAAACTAAGACTGGATTCAGTATTTATTACTTGTGATTCTTTTAAAGTTCCACTGCTTTTAAGAAAAGATTAGTTGAGTATGTGAATACCACTTCCTGAGTCCTGAAATTGGAAGAACAAGAGCATGCACCCAATTTCTTTGTTGTTTTCTTTTATATTTCATTTTTACTATTATCTTGTATCTAGCCTTTTATTGTATGCACATACAAGGTCCCTTGGAAGTCTTTCACATTAGTAGCCAAAATATGGGATAGATGCATGTGCCTTGAACGTCTCGTGTTACTAAATTGAATCATGCATATTACAACTTTCCATTATTTTTCAAGAATAATTAATTAATCCTTCAATAAAACTAGAAAATATTTTACTTATTCACACAATAGGTTACTTTACATCTTTTTTCTTCTTACACTCAACAGTTGTGTTTTCTCTACTATATAAACCAATTTTTTTGGGTTCGAGTTGCTTGTTATTTTGATTTTTCTTTTTAATTATTTCAGAATCATTTGATTGACACGGGACATATTTAACCATCGTTTGGTATGTTAACAGACTTGCCTCATATTGAAAAATATGATTGGTATGTATGGGTTAAGTTAATATTTGCAAAAAATGATGGATCAGTTTGTAATTACACTCAAACCTCAGGGACCTCAATGTAATTTGCCCAAAAAAAATCGAACAGAAAATTATCAGAGCGGGAAAAACTATAATTTTGATGCTGGAAGGATTTAACATTATGCCATAACAAGACTGCAAATCAAACCTGGGAATCATCTTACTGTTGCATTTTATTAAATGCATGTATTTTTGGTCTATCTTGTTTACTAAGATGTGAATCAAACTGGTGAATTATCTCACGTTTCCATGATATTAAATGCATGATTTTCTGTATCTTTAAAGAAAAAGTTTGAGAGAAGATAGATTGTTGAGAGAGGATAGAGTGTTTTTTCTGAATCTTGTTTAGTAAGATCATTGTGGATATTGAGGTTAGGATGATGGAGTAATAATTTTACAAACAGTTACAGGATAACATTGATCTCTTTTGCCGGACAAGGAACAATATTATTGCCATCCTAAATGAGTACGTGGGTTTTCTTACTATGCTCAATTTGTTATAAATTGCATTGTTCCCACTTCAGTCTGTAATGGGAGTGATAGCTTTGTTATTGGATATGCTACCTTGATTGTTGCAGCATGAGAAATATGCCTGGCATAATGAGTCAGATGCCACCATTGCCGGTATCAATTAATGAGGATCTTGCAAATAGTATATTGCCTAATTCTACTCAGGTAAGCTCTCCTGCAAATTTCCCTGATTTATGCAGTTAAGAAGAGTGTGTCGGAGAGAGATTTGAGGAAGTGGGGGCAGGTGTATGTGGAGGAACCTTCTTCTTGTTGTGAATATCTCTTAGGTTCTTTTATTCTTTATATTCTATGCATAATGTTGAAACATATTACAATGTACTGATGATTATTCTAGGCCTGAAGGGGAGGGACAGATCATCTCTATTCTTTTTTCTTTCCTGATTTATTTATGATTTTTTCACAATTTCATCTTCACTCTTAACAGCATAGTCAAAACTTGCAAGCTAATATTATTGTGTTGCCAGTGATATTTTTGATTTAACAAAAACAAAATATTGTCAAGTTGTGAGTGTTCATCACCACGTTTCATTTAAATGAGTTGTGTTTCTTTTGTATCTGCAGTCGATAATCTATGGCTTGCCTGGTGGTACCCATCTGAAGCAAGAGCCGAGGTGCTGATGGAGAAATCTTTTGAGGTATGGTATGGATGTATCTGCTTTGTGTAAGTACCCAAAATTTCTACCTGTAAATGCATAAGAAGCTGGTAGGAGGTTCTTCTTTCCTTCATATTACAGACGGCACTCATATTGGTGCCACAGTGGAAAAAAGAAAAAAAAGAAAAAGAGATTGTAGAGATCCCATTTTTGGAACCAAAAATGTTTTAGCATGCCAGATATGAAGTCCCAAGCACCAGATAATAAGAATGCAAACGGCCTAAATATCTCCTGGCTCCATGGAGAAAATCTAACAAGATTTTAGCTGAATTTTGAGTTGAAGGTTAGTGTGTATAAATTGTGGACAGATAAACACCTTGGAGTGGATCCTTATTTTGGTGCTTCATTTATGGCAACCTTTAAGAATGTTATTTTTCAACTTTTCTACCTTCATTAATATGCTTGTTATGATATACCATTTCAAATACTTGGTGGGGTTTTTCTTTGTTTGTAAAGGATATGACTTTGAATCCATGTATTCATAGGCACCGGTAAAAATATCTAACATTTACCCAAAAAGTGATTGATTATTATAGAACAGTTAATTTTAAAAAAGGTATAAAATTACTTGAAAATTTTATCAATTTAATATTTTTCTTTTCCAAAAACCGACTGTTATGCCTTTCAGACTCTACATATTTTTACTCTATAATATAATGTAAATAAAAGTATTTAAAGCAAATAATTTGCTTAGAAATTTGAGCAAATTTATTTATTTGGTTCAACATACTCAATAAAATTATATTAGGTGTTTTATTTCCAACTTTGATTAAATGAATAGATATAGCTAAAAAAAAAATATGAATACATGTTTTATATTTCAGTTTCATGATTCAACTGAGAATAGATAGAGCTTTTGAAAAGAGAAATACAAATGCATTTTCCACAATTTAATAAAGAATTTTATAGAAGGAAAACAAAAACTATCTGCTTGACTTAGAAATTAGTTTACTCTTCGGTGTTGGAGAATGCTATTATTCAAGAGACCAGTTTCTGTTTTTATCCTTCAATATCGGCATTGAAATGAAAGCTTATGGCTAAACAAAACCAACCAATTCTGTAACTAGAACCATACATGAGCCTAAAGATGATCTCAAACACATTTTTGTCCAAAACTCTCTCATTTTATCACAAACTCCTGGACAAAAATTCACTCATCCCTACAACCCAATCATAAGTTGTGTACATAAATAAAATCTTCAACTGCTGCAAACCCATTACCAGATATTCCAAAAACAAATTGAATGTAACAAAACTTTACACCACTTGATTCTACAATTCCTACCTCAACAATCAAAAGAATCACCCAACAATGTAGTTATCTCACAACACTACTCATATGCTCAAATGTTCTTCCCTAGGCAAGCTCTGAACAGTATCCGACCATCTTCCCGGTGAATGATCACTGCTGTTAGACGAAAAATGAGCCTCGGCCCTCGTATCTCTGATCATCTTCAGAACCTCCCTCATTGTAGGGCGATTTTCTGGTACGACTGACACACAAACCACGGCAATGTTGACAAGAGCTTGAAGTTTCTCCTCTGATGCCTCATTGCCCGAGTTAGGTTCATCACCAGATTCGGTCTCTTCCTCTCTGACTGACCGGACCCATTTGGGAATATCTGAACCATGTTGTTGGACAAGGTCCTGGAATGGAGTTTTGCCTGTTAGGAGCTCCAGGATTAGGACCCCAAAGCTGTAAACATCAGCCGGCTGCGTGGATGCTTTTCGTGGGTCGCGACATTCAGGAGCTCGGTAAAAGAGAGTGGTGGCACTTGGTTCTTCTAAAGAATCAGGATCTCGAAATGAAGCAAGTCCATAATCAGTGAGGCAGGATTCAAAGTCAGAACCTAAGAGGACATTGGAAGATTTCAAGTTGCCATGGGTTAAGCCAGGGTTCTGGTGAATGTAGAGCAGTCCGGTGGCCAAGTCCTCCGCTATTTTCAGACATGATGTCCAATGAAGAGGCTTTCCACCACCTGATGTTCTTGTTCCTGCAACAACATTGACAAAAAGTTAATGCAGACAACAAGATCTTCTCTTGATTTCCGTACTAATTGAATAATATCATTAGAAAACAACACAATCAGGCTTCAAATTGTTAACTATACAAGTAAGTCATATAATCAAAATATGCTTCAGTTTGTTCCATGCACTCTTTGGAGAAGAGATGTAAGGATAAAAGCTTTTACTTGAGTTTTTTTTATTAGAAATCAAAGTGCATAGTGGGTGAACTTTTTGTCCAATAATAATAATAATAGCAGCAAAAAACAAAAGCTAACATAAACTTCTCCCATCAATAACTCATACAAGTTAGTACATAAATTATTCATCACATAAATCACTCCTACTAAACTTAAGCATTACGACATGACTAGTAAAATATCTCATAATATATCTGTAAAAAAAAAAAAAAAAAAGATAAATTCTACAGAGTGAAACTCCAAAATCAAATAATCTTTGAACATACCCGTTGGGAGTTTTAGTTTTAAGTGATTGAATTATTCTTTTACAATTTCAGGCATCTAATCTGATGTCGCTTTCAAATTATTTTTGCAATAATAGATGTCCCCCCATCTAATAATTTCGTTTCAAGCGAGAAAAAAATTAAGTTTTAATTATGAGTTAGAGGCAGGACAGACAGCAACATGGGCTATGAGTTGTTGTCAATAATAATAAACGTACAAAACAAAAACCCCTGCTCCTATTTTTTATTTATTTAAAAACAAAACATGTCCTTATTTACCTAAAAATAAATCTGACATTTTTCATTATTTAATTCTTTTCTTTTTGGTTTCTGTTTCTCATTTTTCAGGCAGTACACGTGGACTTGACTCTTGCCTCAAGGAAAAAAGCACAACAAAGTCCCCCGCGTGTACAATCCCCTAGAGATCAGAATCGTTGATCACGGTGGAGATTATCAAGTGGTCAAAGCTTTTGACCATATCTGGAGCGAGCTTATTATTCATTTTTAAATAATGTCAAATTTTAAATTTTACTCATTAAAACAAAACGACAACAAAAAATATACATAAAATAATAATACTAAAATATGGAAAATCAGACAACTGCAACCAATATTGTCCAAAAAAAAAAAAAGGGTTCCAGTTAAATTTGATCAAAGAAGTAAAAATTAAAATATTAACCCATATAACAATTTAAATAATTTCCTTTTATTCTGTAAGGACCATTTTATACTCGCTGGGATGAAAAGCTGATAGTCGGAATAATGGAATTGATCTCTCCCCACATGCATATACCTAACTCCTCCTACATATCATAAAACCCTCTCCATTCTCGATGTTACAGATATATATATTTTTTAAAATTTATATTGGAAAAGTAATGTAATAATAGTTAACAGGAGAAAAAGAGGGCGAGTGTGTACCGTGAATGAGAGAGAATAGGCTGCCGTTAGGGAAATAATCGTACACGAGCAAGCGTTCCTCTTTCGCCTGGAAATACGCTCTAAGTGGGACCACGTTAGGATGTCTTAGCCTACCAAGCACGTCCATCTGTCTCCCGAACTCCTCCAATCTAGGGTATCTAGCGTCCTTCAATCTTTTAACGGTCACGATGAATCCTGATTCCATCACCGCTTTGTACGTGCTCCCCATCGTACCCCTTCCCAGTGTTTCTGCAGATGCCTTCAGCAAATCTTCCAAGCTATAACTCATTTGCTGATCCCCTGCGCCCAGGAACACCAAACTACCCAATCCCTCCCCTTCCCAAGAAAAACCACCCTGTTTTCCACCATTATTACCACCCATGCCACTCACCCCTGATCCCTCTCCTCTCTCCGCCGCTTCACCGCCCACGTCGATGCCTTTGCTTCTCGTCTCCGTTGATTCCTTTCCTTTCTCGCTTTTTTTGCGTACTAAACACACCAAAACGACGCCGGTTAAAAGCAGCACCACCACCACCAACCCGCCTACACTCCCTGCTACGATTTTTATCAACTTGGCTCGCTTTGATGATGACGATGACTTTGACGAGCGTTTAGAATCAGGGCTCGGTGCAGGTCCAAGATTAGTATTGCTACATGGGTTTTGGATTTGTTCGCCGCAGAGATCAATGTTGCCTAAAAACGACGACGTATTGAACCTAACCAGAGCTGGGGTGGCTGGGATTTTGCCCGACAGTTTGTTGTTTGACACATTGAAGAATCTGAGACTGGTTTGGTTCAAAGGAGGGATGGTTCCCGTCAACTGATTGTCTTCCAAATACAGGATGTAAAGCCGCCGGAGTTTCAGCAATGAAAGTGGGATGTCACCGGAGATTTGGTTTCCGGCGAGAACAATTACCTTCAGACGATGAAGACCCGAAAGGGATTCCGGGAATCCACCGGATAATTTATTTTCATTGAGGTAGAGTGACTTGAGATTAACCAGACCGGAGAGAGTAGGAACGGGGCCTGAAAGTGCATTGCCTTTGAAACTCAACACGCGAAGCTGGTCTAATTGGTTGATGCTTCGTTCGTCGAGAGTACCGGTCAAGTTCAAGTACTCTAAAACCAGTTTGCTCACTCTTCCGTTCAAGCATTCTTTGATCCCTTTCCAGTTGCAGACGTCCTGGTTTTTTTGCCATGGCAGCGAGTTCAAGGGATCAATAGAGGATTTCAAGCTTAAAAGCGCCTCTGCATCGGTTGATCTGACAGGGGAAAGAAGAGAAAACAGAGAGAAGAAGAACAAGAAGAATAAGGAAAGAGGGGAGTACCTTGAGACATTAACGAGTTCCATAAAAATACTTGGAACTTTTGACTCGTTTGAAATGGTGAGAAAAAAATTAGAATGGGATCTTTTCAGATCACGCTAATACTAAATCAGAACCCTGTTGATTTGATTTGAACAGGCCAGTTTCCATAAACAGTTACCAAAAACCTAATCGAGACATTAACCGAGAATCTTCATGCACATAGAATCTGCAATTGCTTCCTTTTTTGGCGCTTATACACCGAGTCACTATCAAAACCTAAATCTTTCAGATCTCCAGTCTTACATGCAAAACCCAAACCAACACATCTCCATCATCACTTAGTCCAAAAATAGCGCCAATCCGGATCATTCTTCTTTTTTCCTTCTTCTTCTTCTTCTTCAACGCAGCTTTTTTTTGACCCAGAAGCTACTATGACTAGAACATTGCTGCAGTGCGAATGCGCAGTCTGTCTGTCAACTCACTAAAAGAGTGTGTGTGTGGGTGTTAATAGCAGTTAACCGGTAGAGAATGAAGGGCTGAGAGCTGGCATTTGAGGGGAGAGGGATGGAGTGAAAGACAGAGCTCCAATAATGGGGAATTCGAACTCAATCACTCCCTCCCATATCCATGAAATGGAGAGAGGCGTCTTTCCTCGAACTCCTTGCTCTCAAAACCTCACGAACAGTACAGCGTAGACTTCACGTGAACCCATCTCTGAAACCTGCAGACGAGAAATAACCTTTGTTTTCTGCTCTCTATGATTTCTATAATATTCTTAGATTAACAGCCATTATTGTGTACAGAGTAAAAATAATAAAACAAAGGCACACGCAGACTCACCCTTGTTTTATTTAATTTTCTCCCTTGCTTCTGCTAAATTTCTCGGAGTTCTCACTCTTTTTAGCTCTTACTGAAACTTATCAAGTCATGGGATCCAATACTTGTTCCCATTTCTTCTCACATACTACAATCAATTGAATCCCAGAAAACTGAACTCAAATCCTTAACCCTCTTTCCTTCCCTCTTCCCAAAATTATCAGAAACTCAAGATGTTGAAATTTGATAAATGTTTAGAAAAAGAACAGAAGAATTACCCAAAAAAGATTAATGAGAAGTAGAGATTGGCAGCCTCTAAAACTCAACAAAACCAAGAAATGTCGTAGACCCATCATCTCTCTGTACACGGTCCTGAAAGAATAATAATTCAAGTGAGAGAGGGAAGGGTGTTGGGCTTTACAACAACAGGAAAAAAGAACATGTCTGTCTTCAAACTCTCTCAGGAAATCGGTGAAACCATTCAAGGCAGAGAGTAGTAATAAATTGTGGGGTTCGATCTGATCCCATCTGATACTCATCTGACACGTGTGACAAAAAGTAAATAAAAACGTTAGGAGAAAGTGATAGTATATAGTCGAGTTCACGTTAAAGTCCACCTAACTTGCTCCGACCAAAATCAAAGGCCAGCTGGGAGTTTCAGTAAAATCTTGAGGGGGGGGTTGCCGGAAGACTTTTCCAGTCGAAGACATTGCCGGAGATCTAGGGGTAACGTGTAAGCGACTACCATTATATGGGTTAGTTGTTTCTTGTTGTTGATTAACTTTAACTTGACTGGTACTTTGTTTACGGACACAGAATATTGTTTGGCTTGGGGACCCTTTCTGATTTGTTTGGTTTGATAAATGAAATATTAGATTTTTTCTATTTTTTTTTAATTAATATTTGGAAATAATTCTGAATGCTCGTTACTCATTGGCTCCTACATAATTAATTAATGTTAAGTAAAGAATTAATTAATAATTCTGGTTTTTTTTTTTTTTTTTTTGAGTAATGACAGGTCAACAAGGACAAATTGACCCATCTACTCTTTTTTTTTTTTTATTTAAAACCAGAATTTATTAAAAATGAAAAAACTTTTATTATCAGCACTTTCCTCTCTTTTTCCTCTTTTTTTTTTTTTTTTTTTTGTTTTTTCTAAAAATAATTATTTTCCTCCGTTTGTGCTCTGTAAAATCCTCTTTTGCCAGAAGATGATGTTATGAAGAAATTTATGTTTAAAGAGACATACATTTGCCAAGAAATATTATGACATATTACGACCCATGTATGAAAATGAAATTTGATCCCAATGTAAATAACATATATCAATAGTAACCATGTAAATATGTTTTCCCATCCTACATTATCCGTAAGTAAAGATTAAATCTAGTTATTTACTTAAAAAAAAAATTGAATTTGAATCCAAAATCGTACATAATTGTAGCAATGATCAGGGTTTCACTAATTTAGTTCTCTTTCAAACTTTATTTTTAGTTCAAAGAGTGATATAATAAGTTAGATTTGGAACGAATTTTTTAAAAACCAAACATATTCTAAATTTGGAATGAGTTGAAAGACATAATTTTTTATACTTTTTTTTTCCAGATTTATAGAGTTTGTAAGTTAAATCCGCACACCTCATCTCCCACCTGCCATAAGAGTCAATATTAGAACTCAAAAGCTTCTCTGGGTTTTTGTTTATTTTAATTAAAAATTCAAAGTATGTATGGTATTTTATACGTAGAGAGTATTGAGTCGAATTGGAACAAATTTTTCGTAACTAAATCTGAACTTAAACTATTCCGATTAGGTGAGATAAAAAAACCCGTGTTCGAGTTGGATCCAGTTTAAAATCACAATGTATTCAACAAATGGGAACAAATTTGACAGGTTACAGTTTTTTGCAATTTCTAATTTTGGTAATTTGGAGATTTCTTTCCCTTTCAACATGACGATAAATTGAAGGTAAGAATCTTTGTTCGCTTGTTTCAATCAAAAGATTATCTCAAATCTCATAAACTATAACCTAAATTGATTGTAAGTACATCTAAAAATTGCTGCCTCATGCAAGTGGGTTATCTTTTTTATAGACTGACCGATAATAGGAAGATGCACTTCTCCAAATTTAATATTTAGTTAGAATCCAATGAATCATACAAATTGAATGGAATCCAATTCAATTTAAAATTACTTACAATAGATCAATCTATATAACTCCGATTATAAAATTATCGAATTGAAGCACAAAATCCAAGCATATAAAAATTCTGATAACGAATAGTAAGAATTCACATTTCCGGGTTAGAACCATAAAAAAATAAAAAATAAAAAACTGAATTATTTGTTCAGACCTTCAGGAACTAGAAAAATCAGTATACTTGGTTTCATCTTAAGTCTGATTAAAATGAACCAGTTTCAACCAAATATATATAAAAATAATAATTTTAGTTTTAATTTTTTCATTTATTAATTTTTGAATTAACAATTTTTTTTTTTTTTATTTAAAAAAAAAAGAATTTCAATAGGATGGAATTGAACCCAAAAAAACATTAATCCGATTAGACTGAATTTTCATCCTTAATCAGTTCTCGTTCTTGTTCGATACTAAACCGATGCCATCTCTATCTACAATGATACCCAGGCTCTACGCTCATCAATAATAATTGCCGCAAGGAAACAATAAACGAATGATTACAAGGTGAGCAAATACATAAACACTTACAATTCACGACTCACCACATCACTGTCCCTGAAAACATGACGATGGCGAGTCTGCGAACTGCAACTAAATTTCCAAAACCCCACATCCTTTGCATGGCGGCATCTGCATGAAATAAACTCTCAGGCAGAGACACCACGTGGAACCGTAACATCAGATCTTTGAACCACGTCGACACTAATCCCACCCATCAAAACCTCCACGTACGCACTTGTCATGCAAAATTATATTTTCAAATGAATGAGATCGACAACCACTCTGCTTCCGCAATTACGTTTCATTTAATCCGAAACAACAAAAACAATGGCGAAACTTAGACTCCTAGCATCAGGTCTTTTGGCGCTCATTGTTCTCACAGCTTTAAGCTGCACAGCCATGGAAACTGAAGGCTGTGGCCCACAGATCGAGAGCCAGCACCTAACTGAGTGCAAGAAGTTTTTGACACAGAGGTGCTGGGTTAGTTGCCGGCGGCATCTCCCGGAGTGCTGCCAGGAGATGAACAGACTGGATAAGCAGTGTGTGTGCCAGGGTATAAGAAAGTTGATGACGAAATTGCAGGAAAAGCAAGTAGAACGGCAGTATGATGAAATGAAAGAGATCTTGCAAAAGGCTAGGAACTTGCCTGCTTTGTGCCGGATGGGCATTGGCCGTTGTGACATTTTCTGAGTAAGCTCGCTGAGTCTCTGCGTTAACATGTATTGAATCTCTGCAGAGCATATATTGCATGTGGCTGCGTCCGTGAGTGTGTGTATGTGCGTGTGCGTGTGCGCTTGTGGTCCTTTATGTTCTAAAGCATGTGAATGTTTCTTTGATTCGAGCTTATGTAGGGTTAGTGCGAGCCCTTTAGAGCCTCTTCTCCTTCACAGTACCCTAGTCAGTAGTCTGTCGTCCGACAAAACTGAGCATGTTAAACTGTTCCATATTCAATGTAGAAATAAACTTAAAATAAACCAAAGCAAAATTGGCAGCAAGAAGCCAATAAGAGTTGCTATTAATACTTGAACAAGTTACAAGGCTTGCCCTTGATCCATTAATGACTACTTCTCAAGTCACTTCAGTTCTTGGAGAAGAAATTTGATGATTTGCTGATCCACGCATCAAGATAAAATTTAAACTTCCCAGTTTGAAAGAATAGCTGTCAAGACCCTTCATCTGAATATACATCTCTTTCACTACTCAAGTACAAATGCAGGATGTCTAATCATATCTCAAAACTAAGATATGGGTTTCCTTCAGATAAAAAGGGAGGGAGACGTGCAGATATTTGAATTCCATGTCTTGTAATAATAAAAGTCCAACAGATGTCAAGTTGCTTGTTGTGAGCGTGCCCGAGCTGCAGCTCTCTCTAATGCCTTTAACCTGTTAGCTTCCATACGAGCTTTCTGTTCATCTGTTATCTGGATTTTATTGGAGGAGCTAGCTACAGGTTTCTCTAGTGCCTTCGACCTGTTTGCTTCCATACGAGCTCTCTGTTCATCTGTAATCTGGATTTCACTTGAGGAGCTCGCCCTATTATTTTGTTCAGGATTTCGTGATTCTTTCCCATAAATACCCACGGAATATTCATTGGCTCTGTCAACCTCACCATGCAACATTTCAGATGGTTCCTGGTAGTCCAAAATAATTAAAAAAGAAAGAAAAGAATCTTCATTGTCCGTAAAACAGTCTGCATAACAAGTTAAAATTACCAATTTATCTTATCAAAAAGACCAAATACATAGCCGATGCATTAACGGGTGCTTGGGATATATGTATATGTATAGCTACATTTGTCAAGGCACTACAGAAAACAAATGTTCCATTTGGTCCCATTTCCATTCAATTCCTCCGTTATTCCTCCACTTAATCGAACTTTTATGCTTAAGCCACCTCCATTCCAACCTCGGACTTTTAGAGGTGGATTTCCAATTCTTACTTAGACCAAACAGCCATTCTCTCACTAAAAGCAAGGAATTATGATGAAAGAACATGGACTGGTGGCAACAGTAGGATTATCAAGAAACATATGCTGTCAAGACATAAGAGATAGATAAAGAATACCTAGGGAACTAGCTTGGTAGTTTCAAGATTCACTTAGCCTCGTAAAAAGATTGGAAATGCTTGCAATCGTAAAACTAAAGTAGGACCATAAGAACAGATGAAGAAAGACTAGGGAACTTGAGCTTGCTATTTTTCAGATTTGAGAGAATCGTAAGTTGTTGATGCTTATTCAAACAGTGCAGGCAATGGTAGCATATGATAACATGAAGATTGATACAAAGTTTCCTGCCAGTGATGTAAAATTTTCACCGAACGGTTATAATCCACTTTACAGAAGAGGGCATCTTGGTGCCTCGTACAAAATTAATAGCATTCCAGATAAACAAAAATTACCTGTAGCCTCAAACAACGACATTACCTTCATTTTTCTTTTTTGGATCGAATAGGAAGAATACATTAAGTTCGGATGAAGAAAATACAGAAAAGGAGAATGAGACATCCTCCCAAAGAAATAAAATAAATAAAATCTAAACAAAAAAACCCAACAAAAAAACACCGTACCTTCAACTATTCTCAACAAGAAATATCTATCCTTATTGGAGAAAATTATAATTTATAGAGCACTATGATGAAGATATTACTTATTTTCCAAAATGTTAAGCATATTCTCGAGGGAAACCTTGAAGCAGCTATTCCAGAAGATCAAGCAGGACTGACAACAGCAAAGAAAGAATACAAGGAGAAGAAGATTAAAGGTGCAAGAGCAGTGAGTTCTCTTCACTAGAGGATAAATAAACCTATTGTTCCTCGAATTTCTATTTCCAAAATACATTAAAAATTTTAAGAGAATAATTTAGGAATCATGATAAACAATCTTTATTAGGCTCCAAAACTTATGGTGAAAGTTAAAAAATTTGTACATAAAAAATAATAAAAATATGCATTATTATTATTATTTTTTATTTTCTTTCATGAATTACTTATCAAACAGCCACAGTAAATTTTGGACCATAAAAGATCTTACGAAGTCATGAAAAATTAGCCGCACTCTGCATCTTTATCCATTTCTTTTGAATATTATCTTCACCCCTTTTTGCTTTAATATTAAGTTACCTTGACAATTAAGTTGGCCTCATGGCCCTTTTTTTTGTGGAAATACAAATTATTTTTAACAGGATAATAATAACTTATAGTAAATCACAAGCATCTACTTTGATAATGCTAACCAACGAGGAAAAACAAAAATAGATTAAAAAGCCTATTTAGCCGATATAAACAACAAAATGTAAGATCTAGAAAAATTAGATAAAAATGCTTACTTCAATGGCTTTCTCATAGATCTCGTTAAGCATGGCTTCTTGTAAATCACAAGCATCGACATCTTTTGACGAATTCCCAAGTTGATTACTTAGTTCATCAAAATTTGGGGGACCTGCAGTAGTTAAAAGGCATAAATCCCTGTGACTAAGATGGCAGTACTTCTTTATCCAATATATAAACAAGTGAGACTACCCATAGATGCATACTCTATAGACCAGCACTATACATAAGGTTATGAATCACATATTACCAACAAAAGATTATAAAAGCTCACTAATTACACCTGATTATCAATTTTAATCTAATGTGTCAGTCGATCCAAGGAGGTAAAAAGACATGCAGTAATCAAGAAAAAAATTCTAATTCATTTACAAGAGGTCAACTAGACTTCAGCATCGAAGAGTATCACCATGAATTGGAATAATCACCAAGCAATTGAGGAAACTCAAATGCACGAACAGCAAAACTGACACATCCTTCAAGAGAGAAAAATGGCAAGATAGCTTATGTACCTTGTTCATCATCTGGAGCATCATCCTCTCTTGGAGGCTCATGCAATTTTGTAGGATCTCCTCCTCTGGCAACTCTTTCTCTTAAATCTTTAATAACATTCTAACAAAAATAATATTAAAAAATTAATACCATGATATTTTCATGTAAATGCTTGATACTTTTGAGCTCTATTTGGTTCATTTAACACTAAATTTCTAGCTAATTACTACCTCTAATTTTCATATTAGTATCGATATTCATAATTGGAGAATGCTCCGTTTTGTTTAACTTATACCATCTTGAGTTCCAATTCCTTGGAAGTGAAACTCAATTTCCAATTCTCAATTTTCTCGCCATAGAGAATTAAAGGTGGGAAAATTAATTAGTAAGTATATATATATATATCCGCGCGCGCGCGTGCACACACACACACAGATATATATATATATCAAGACTAATATGAAAATTATAATGAAAACTCAGTTAGGAACTAAAAAGAGATAAATCCAAGAGGCTCATAAATCCCAATTATTTAAAATGCTTTATGTGACCTCCCACATTGCAATACAGAAATTACGTAAAGAAATCATACAGGAGAAAATTATCTCTCCTTGGATGCTTAAACATAGGACCATCTCCTATGAGATGCATTATTAAGGATTGGAGATAATATTTATAGTAATAATAATAAGGCATTTTAAATACATTTATTTTGGGTGATTGGCAAACACAGAAGAAGGATAATTGAAGATGGTTGAAAGTTCTTGCTGTGCTACTAGAATCCTCAAAAAATGCGTATTCGGCAAAGATTATAGCCAAAGTTATTAAATCTATTACCTTTACACGCTTGGTAGCAGCAACTTGTTCCACCTTATGTACAAACTGATCAAATGAATAATAAGGGAGCAGATGAGAGTGCCATTCCCTGTATAAGCGAATCAAATTCCCCAAATCTTTAACCTATAAGAGTAAAACACTACTTTTAGAAAATCTAGAATGCATCATATAAAACTGGATCGAAAGGCATATAAAAATTGGGTACATGCATAGGCAATTAATCGAACGGATGGGGCGCATTTCTCTTAAAACGAGAAGGGAAATGTTATGCGAAGCACACAATCGGCCGAAACTTACAAAAAAAAAAAAAGGAAGGGGAAGAATCTAGGGTTACCTCCTGACCGCGGCCTCGGTACCTGAAGGCGCGAGGGAAGTGACGGAGAATGTAGCCAAGGCCATCTTCGGAGAGAAGGAGTTCAGGGGTAAGCTTCGGCCTGGTTCTCGGCACCTTCTTGGGCTTCTCTATTCCAGACTTTGGAGCACCAGTGACCGTGGCGTTAGCAGGGTAGTTGTTGTTATCCTTGTTGGTAGAAGAGGGATTTGGAGCGGAGGAAGAACAGTCGCGCGACCAGTGGCCTGGACGGCCGCACTTGAAGCAACCAGTGGGCGCTGATTTTGTGTTGTCCATTTCTCTTCTTCAGCTTTACTGAGTGCGGGCTGTTGTTTGGACGCCCTGAATTTGTGGCTTTGACGTATTTCCTCTTCATTTGTTTTGGCGGGAACTGGAGGAGGGTGGATTCAGTTTTTCCCTCCTTTTTCGATTTTACATTTTCTCTATTTTTTTTTTTAATTTAAAATTGTACATGTGCTGCATAACACATTATTTTTTAAAAAAATTATATAAATAATATAATTTGAAGTAAAAAAAAAATGATGCATAAGTTATAAAAATTAAATAACTGATGAAGAATATATATAATATATAATTTTAGAATTTATAATGAACGAAGAATTTAAATAAATAATTACTACGTGCGCCAAAACTAATACCCTCCCAATAAAGCTTTTATGCACCACAGCTAGCTGTATGACTTACAGGCATCTTTATAGGTAAATGTTTTACACGTGTTTATATTGCTGGAATTAAACTATTCATGTTCCCACACCTTAAATTATATGTACAAACTCCGAATAATGTATGAATTCATTTTATTAGTATGTAATTTTTTCTCAAATCATTATTCCAATGCATATTCACTGCACAAATAATTTCTAACATTTAAACAATCACATATTCTCTCCAAACAATTCACTCTTGACCTGATTTGCATTTTACATTTCGCTGGGTCTTCAACAAATTAATGAGACCTGGTATAAAACAGACAGTAGTGAAGAACTTGTTTCATCATTTGCAATTACACCATATATTCCTTCACCAAAAAAACTGTAACATATAGTCAGGATATGGAATAACATTGATTTTCCTTCCTTCCTTCCTCAGAATCGTGAGACATCCAATCAACAAAATCTGGTATATGATCTCTACCTGTATCCTATAATTCTCCTACAATCCATTTTGGTGTTGTTCCGCTGAAAGGCTGAGAAATCATGATGAGTTATTTGTATTTACAAGATCCCCTTCCGATCCATGAACCTCCTCTAGCCATTTGTTGTGCATCAAATCCTTTGTTCCCTTCATTTTTCTCACTGGCTTGTTACTATAGTTTATTGGTATGAAGTCAAAAATTCACAGACCAATCATAGCCCTGATACGAAATACTAATGGGACCCCCATCACCTAAAAGATGTGTTAAAAGCCCTGCTTTACTTGCATCGAGGTAATCGATGATCCATTTCAATACTTCTTTCTCTTGTCCAAAATCCCCACTGGACCTACATTTTTAAACGTTATAGGACAGGACGCAGGAGTGTGAGAAATCTGATTTACAAGTAGAAATTCTAAGCAATAATTATACACTACTGTATCAGATAGCTAGCTCTTTTTTCCTTTTCTTTTAGAGAGATCGAGGCAGTTAATTAGTCTTTGATCACTCACCACTTGATGATCCGTGTTAGATAAACTGTTCTCTTGTCCAAATTCACCTCTATCCCACCCATTTGAAAGTAATCCCTGGCAGCACGTCTCAGCTCCACTTGAACCCCTTGTGGAGTGAAAAACCTCACCGTTGGGCTTGATCTTGTCCCGTCACAAACTCCAAAATGGATTAATGGGTTCACCTTTGGAAGAGCAAACTGCCATTTACGGATGCAATTGTTAGAAAACTTACCTGCATTATACAAGCACACAAAACTACAAGCTACTTTTTACCTTTCTTTTTTCACTTTGCTTTCAAGACTAGTTGTGCTAAGACTAGAATACATTGCATCATTTTTTCATCAATCTAATTAAACCACAACTCAATTAAAATAATTTTACTTGTTCGTTTATAACTTTACTTTGTTTATAACTTATTTAGAGTAAACATTAAATTTTTTTTTTAAAGATCACTTAAAAATTTCAATTTTTTTTATAAAAAAATTACTTAAAAATTCATGTGTCAATCTAAAAGTACAATTCAAGTAAACTAAATTATTTAAAATTTTTTGTACATAATTAGTTCTACTTGTTCCTTTAGCATTTCTTTTATTTATATGAATAAATTTTAATATATTGATATGTTTGTAATATGCGTTTTTGGCTCCACCAAGAAAAATTTTCTATATCAATCACTAAATATCACTAGCTATAATCTCCAAAAGACATTAAGGAAAATTTACCTCTAAGCGTCTATCGGAGTTGCTAAAAGGCTTGATCAATGCAAATGTTGGTCTCTGATTGCTTCTCAGCACCCCATTCTTTATGTTACTGAGGGAATAGGAATAACCTCCAACTATGTAATGGAAATCAGAAAAAAAGGATCTGCTATCAATCACGCCTTCTGGGCATCCTGTCCTAATTATAGCATGGATGACCATGGCATTATACAAGTTCAAGAAGAAAGCCAGCTTCTCATCTTGTGAGAGCGTAAGGAGATTCACCCTTTGAAGTTCTTGAACCAAATTAATATATCTGCATTTATTATCACAAGAGGTAGAAAATTGCACTCAGCTTAAACGAAATTTAAAAGGAAATTATGAATGTCCATGTGCTACAATGTTATATCATTAAAATTTTCTTCTCGTTTGTGAAGGAATAAGAGGATAAAGTTTTCTGCTTTGTTCTCCCCAAGATTGGAATAAGTAATTTTGATTTTCGAATGACAAAGTTTGATATATTCTGATCAATAAGATATGGAGAATTCAATGGACACATGGAAATAAGATACCTGGTTAAGCCAAAGATACGATGAGTTTCAGGTGCCAACCTACTTCGAATTTGAAATACGGGGAAAATGCAGGGAGCTAATTATGTTATCACTGCTGAAGATGTGGTTGGTACTGGATATATTGTCAACGAAAATTGAATCCTCTTAAGAAAAGTAGAAGGTTTCCTTTAAGTACTGGTAAAAACACTAAAGATGAACATGAGATGGAAGTACCCAAATTCACAAATCAAACTGTCCCTGAAAATACATGTAATCAATATAACTTGAGAGGGCATGGGAAAACAGAAAGACTCCTGGTTGGATCAATATGGTAAGACCAACAGGTGGTCAACGAAGTCGTGAAGGATTGTATGGAGAAAAGACTGAACATTCTCATTGGTGGCAGCTCACCTAGGAATACAACCGAATGTGCCGAAAATGGTCCTCTTAAGACTTTTCCTAAAGTGAAATTATTGATTAACTAGACCAATGGCCATGTCAGGTGCAGGGGATTACGTACACAATTGATGTGTGTCTTAGCCTGGGAAGGAATACCAAATAAGTGTGCGTTAAAGAAAAGCTAATAATACCTTCGGAATTCCTCACTTCTGCTGATTCCCAGATAATCAACATGGTACCTGTCATCAGATGCATATGCCTCAAGTATCGCAGACATAATTTTTCGAAGCTCCTGACCTAAAAAAATGGCTGCTTTGGGCTCACTATCATTGGTACATCCTCGAAAATTGTAGCATTTGGGAATAAATGGTTCGTGTTCCAGGAAACGGTAGTAGTGATTTCCATCTTCAAAATCGTTTTCCCTACACATTGTGATGAACATAACAATGAAAGAACTGAACATCAGACGAAAAATATCATAACAAACAAAATATTTCGTTATGATATAAAAGAAAATGTTGGTACCCAAAAACGTGATGGATGAAGTGCTTCCTCGCCACCTGCCTTCCAACCTCAATGGCCTGTGCACAGAATATACCATTAAGAGTTCTTCGAAGTTAAAGTAAAAATTACCAAAACGATTGTAATCTACTAGTAAATTTTACTATATAAGCAGCAATAAATGAAGATACTTCTTTATCTAGTTTCATAAGGGTACTATATTTCTAGATTTGTTTAAATAGGCCCATAAATTGGACCCAACAAATAAATGTTGCTTGACTTAGGTTCCTACCAAGAAAAGCACCTCTTACGGCCCATTTGTCATCTATAGATATATATATTATATACATATAAATGCAAATGAGAGTAATTTCTTACGAATATGGAATAGAAAAGAAGAATTTAAGGAATCATTATTGCTCGAAAAGCAAACATAATAAATGAGTGCTAATTCCCACCTCCCTTGTTAGGTCCGAATCATATTGTCATCTTCAACAAACACAATATATGAAGGGAAAGTCCATAGCCCTACTCAAAAGAAAAGGGAAATTCCATAGCAAAGAATTAATAAGACCATTATTACTTCCATAACGCGGCACTGACGTAATTACTGTTTATGGATTAATCAAATAATTTTCAGCAAACGATGCTGGTTATCGCATCAGGGTGCTCGCCATCATGACGGTTGGCTATCGATAAAAAAGCAAACTTCAAATAATGGTTTGACAGAAAATATGAAACAATGTACCCGGCTGAAAGTTACGGCAAGGGTAATATCGTCATTTCAACAAGAGTAATGGCTTTCCTTAATCTGATACCAGGTCAACGACTAGTGTCGATACCCTTCAGTTTTCGGAAAAAGCAGTCGACAGAGAAATCAACGAGAAGGATAATAATCGACGGTTATGATGAGATGGTGAGTTCATAGACAAAATAAACGTGAGGGCGATATGCACAAAACCAAGTTACGACGGAGTGCAGAATAACAAACAGAGCATCATAAAAGAGCGTAATACGCGCCCGTTCAGTTACCTTCTTCCTGCCGCAGTCCAAGTGGTGAATGAGAACCTCCACCATTTCCCTTCCAGAAAAGCAATTTTTAACTATTTTCATCTTCATCAGACGGTCCTGAATGGGCAACCTCTGCCTCAAAACCCTAACAATTGCAACCATCTGGTCCATCACTTCTTCTTCCTCATCGTCGAAGCCGTACACCGGCGGTACAGGCGCATCATCAGAACATTTCTCACGAAGCAGCTCCCCCAACATTTGGTCAAACCCACCGCTGTTCCTCAACGAGTTCAACGCCACCAACCCACCGAAAAGCTTGTCGTTGAAAAATATCTGAGGCACCTGTGAGCTTCCGGCCCGTTGGATCAACTCCTTCTCTCTCTGTGGATAAACGTCGACGTTTATTTCCACAAACTTGAGTCCCCTCTGCCTGAAGAAGGAGCGAACCGCAGTGCAGTCCCTACAATTCGATCTCGAGAAGAAGGTTATGCGTCCCCTTAATATTTGCGTGTTCGACTTCTCCTCCTCTTCCCCCTTGACTTTGACTACAACCTTGAGCCCCGATATTTTGAACTCCGTCACTGCCGGCGACCAGCCTTCTCCGGCAGTCTCTTTTAGCGAGGAGAATCGCTTCACGATAGCGTTGCTTCTGTCCCGAATGAATTTCCCGATCGACGGCATCTCCACTGAGAAATTCTCCTGGCGTTGCTCTTTGTTTGGCAGCGGATGATGATCATGTGCGAGCCCCGGCGGCGCCTCCGGCTTGGGAAGCTGACAGTGAGGTTCGATAATCTTTAGGTAACCCTCGTATCCGTTGGGGTGCGATACTCGTATCATTGGACGATGGACGTGGTCTCCTCCTCTCTCGTCGGTGTCGCCGGAGGATTGAGATAATATTTGTTCTTGTCCAGAATCACGAAGGTGCAAGTGCTCGAAGGATTGAGGAGCTGGTGGTGGAGTGATTATATGGTGGTGGCAATCAAGCTGATTACCGTTGGGAGGGGACCCGTGGGCGTCTCCATGATAACCGCTATTGTTCGAAATGGAGGAGGAAAGGTCGGGTTTGTTTGTTGAAGACACCTTAACCTTCTGAACGGCACCGTTTTGTAATGAATGTTCATCATGTTGCGGTGGGATTTGATGATTGAGACCGTTTGATGTCAACTCCATTTCTGCGGAGAAACAGGGAGGTGATCACGGAAACGAGGAGCCCATTTGGGACAAAGACGAAGAAGAAGAAAGAGAGGGTAGCGATAATATCGGAGGGGGATTTAGTTATAAAAGTATTATTCTGTTGGATGCGAAGGGATACGGGAGGTTTAACCGAGAAGAACAAGTTGATATGGAAGTCTTTTTTTTTCCTTTCTTTTTTTTTTTTTGTTTTTAAAAAGGGAAATAAAACATTTTAAAAATATATTTAAATCCATTGTGGGGGCCATAAAATTGAATTGAACCGGCCCATTCTCATCTTACAGTTAAAGCGCCGGCCCAGCGGGAGCTATCGCGGGACCCAGTATCGCGTATTTTATGGCGAAAATGGGAAAAAGAAGTGGACTGACTAATTTAACCCTGGTGATTTGAGGATAAAATGGGGGTATTTACGTAATTTCGACGGATTTGGCGCCACGCTAATTGACTGGGCCAAAAACCATACTATAAACTGATTGGCTGGCTATGAAATCCAATTGGCGGCATGATATATGTTGTAAAATTAATTAGGATTCCTCATATTATTAATTGTAAAGGTAATTACCAAACTTGTAAAACGTATTAATTACTTTCTTAAAAAAAAAGAAATATAAAGGGGATGTTTTTGGGTAATTCCTAATTATAAAATTTGACTGGAAAAAATGTAATTATAATAATTTATTTTACTTAAATTTAAGTATGAATGTAGAATATATATATATAAATAATTTATTTGTCAAGCTGTAATTATTCCGAAAATTTAAAAGAAAATACATATAATAATCTAGTGCGGATGCGAAATAAAAGATTAAGGTTAACATCCCTTACACAATAACTTAAAAGTACTAAACAACATCACGGAATAAGTTTTTTGAGAAAAATACGAGAAATAAAAAAATAAAATAAAATTATAAAGCATATAACATTTACTCGTAGTCTTCTTGTGGATCGGGCTCGGGAACCAGGTTCTCTTGATCTGAAATGGTTAAATAAGAAATGAGCTACACTACCCCAGTAAGGACATCACACTATATCACCGTCACAGAAGAAAAGATTGATAAAAAATAAAAAACAACCAATGGAGCACAAAATTTAAACTACTACATTTATTTAAAATAAAATCATTTACCATTTTTCTTACCCTTGGAGAACTGTGAAAATAACCTATAAAGACAATAACATCATACAGATCACAATTTCATGCATAATCAATAACATAAAACATATCATAAATCCGTATTCATTAACAATAACTGATTATCACCGTTTCTCGTTTTCACCAGCCTATTAATATCCATGGGGATCCATAGGGGTGTCTCGGCTACACGTGAACCATTCTTCTTAACAGTCTTAATTCTAGGGTCATCCCCATACCCCGTCCGGTATGAGAACTAAGGCATTAAACCTCAATACTTTGTCCGGTATGAGGGTGAAGCGGGCCGTCTCCATACCCCGTCCGGTATGAGCGCAAAATGATCAAGTCTCCATACCCCGTCCGGTATGAAACAACGTTCACGATAGGGTTCCTTATGAACCTGATCCGTCCACCATCTCCCAAGATATCTAGTGAGGTTGTCACCTTATTTGTTTTTCCTTAGTCTCCGTTACCAAGTTGAACATAATCACATAAACAATAAACATGCACCCAGTAATACAATCATATCATAAGTTCCAAAATCACACAATGGTCAAGTAAAACAGTAATACATGCATTTAAAACCATATAATAGATAGACCAGATACCATAATGCATTTAAACTGTAAAATAAATTAAGTAGGAATCGACAGAGAATAATGTCCGGTTCGGGCTCCATTTGCAACCTTAATTAATTATGCATATATATTAATTTGTACAAAATACAGTATTATCATTTATTCAAACTTCAATTCCATGATAGGAAATAGGGTGATGGGGTCTTTACTTGATTCGACGCCGAAAACTAGATTGTTACTGTGCCTACAGGCGGTCCCTGAGTTCCCTAAATTTTTTCTCGGGAACTGAAACGCGCTTACGGTACCTATACATGTCCCAAATAACCCAAAAATCAGACCCAGGGTCTACTCAGCCAATTTTAAAATTCCGACACGGCGGCTCCGCCGTGCTCCGGCGACGGCGCCGCCACCCATGGCGGCGATCCGCCTCAGGTTGGCTGTTTTCGGTCGAATTAAGCCAAACTTGCATTGGTTCTTGTGAGAAAACACACTTAGGGCCCTCGGTGGGCTAAAAAAACGTAGAAAATCGATACTCACCAACGGTGGGGCTCTCCAGCTCACGTTGCAGTTGGGTGTTTTGCTCCGGTCAACCTGTAGAGGAGGAGATGGTGATCACAACAGTGAAAAAGTCACATCGAACGGGAATTGGAAAGGGCCTCATCGGAGGCAAAAATTGAAACACCCTGCGGCGGCACCGTTGAGCTTCGGCGGCGTTTTCCAGCCAATTGGCCGGTTCTTTCACTCCGATTTGGCCATGACTGGATTTGGAATCAAATTCTGAGCAAAGAGTAGAATTTTTACCTCGTTTGGTGGTCGAAAATTACTCCAGTGCAACGACGGGTGGTGGCAGTCGGCTTCCCGGCGGTTGGGCTGTCTTCTCCGATGAGGGCCTCTGGCGGCTAGGGTTAGGGTTTGGGTGCGGATGAGGTTATTTATACCCATCCGCTTTTGATCTGGGCCGTCCATCACATTTAATCTAAACCGTCCAATCGCGATTAAATAAGGAGTGAATCTGGACCGTTCATCGCGATTCAATCTAGACCATCCGTGCGCGATGCAATCTGGACCGTCCGTGCGCGCGGGAACGGATCTTAGCAGTCGCGCACACTCGGATAACCCACGTGGCTCCCTCCCGCATCAGCGTCTCTGCCACCTGGCACGTCCTGGTTGGTCGGGGCTGCTGACGGGACAGCTGACGTGGCGTAACTTTTTTAAATTATATTTTGACTCCCATTTTCTGTTTTTTCTTTCAAAAATACCCCCATAACCCAAATTTTCATTTATTTTTTCCAAAATTATTTTCAATTAAATCCTCAATTATTTTTTTTACCCTTTTTATTATTATTACTATTATTTTTATTAAATCAAATTAAAATAAATTAAATTAAATTCAATTCAATTCAATTAACACATATTTATATTTATATAAAAATAATAAAATAACATAAAAGTAATAAAAAAAATAATTGGGTGTTACAACCCCCTCCCCTCTTAAAAGAAATTTGGTCCCTCAAATTTGCATCTTACTCTCGATCAAACAACTGGGGGTACTGAGCTCTAAAGTCTGATTCTAGCTCCCATGTAGCCTCCCTTGGTGTGTAGTTCTGCCATACGACCTTTATAAATGATATTTCCCAGTTACGGAGTAATCTGCTCTTTCGATCCGTAATGCCGACTGGTACTTCCTCGTAGGATAAGTCCTCATGGAGTAGGAGAGGTTCGTGGGCCAAGACATGAGAGGGGTCCGGGTTGTACTTGGGTAGCATGGACACATGAAACACATTGTGGACCTTAAAAAGTTCTGGAGGCAGTGCTAGCCTGTAGGCGGCGGTACTAATCCTGTATAAGACTTCAAATAGTCCAATAAATCAGGGGTTCAGTTTCTCCCTCCTACCGAACCTACTAATTCCCTTGAAATGAGTGATCTTAAGGAACATTCGGTCGCCTTTCTCAAACGCTAAATCTCTCCTCCGAGTGTCCGCATAACTCTTCTGCTTGCTTTGAGCCGTTTGAATGTTCTTCCTGATCTTAATTATTTTGGATGTAGTCTCATCTACCAGCTCTGAACCGAACAATTTTCTATCGCCCACTTCTTCCCAACAAATCAGCGATGTGCATGAGCGCCCATATAACGCCTCATATGGAGCCATGCCAATACTCGCTTGGTAGCTGTTGTTGTAGGCGAACTCTATCAGGGGTAGATGGTCGTCCCAATGGTCCCCAAAGTCAAGGACATAACCTCGGAGCATATCCTTAAGTGTACGGATTGTCCTT